CTGAGTATTGTTGAGTCGAGCACGTGAGACATTCGTTGAGAATTATAGCATTTGTTATAGCGCGACTGTTGAAATTAAGTGTATCGCAAAGTTATATTCAGAAAGAATAAAACAGTTTCATTTAAGAAAGGACTTCTTTCGATAAAGTTTCTTCGGAAAGAATTTTTACGGAAAATTAACGAACGAACGGAGAGGTAACATTACATTACCTAGTTTCAGGCGCAATTAACGTACGTCATGCTTTTCTAAAATGACTTGTGTCACACATATAACTAATAATTTCTGTTGAAAAATAAGAGAAGTTGTATCTGCAAGATATCGCCTGACTTACTTTTAGTGAAAACCACTGTCTTCTTTCATACATAAGGTGAAATTTTACAACTATTTATTCCATGGATAGACTAGGTATTATCTTAAAGGAGTGACAAAGAACAATAGGTAGCTAGAGCGCTAGCAACTTAACGATTCTCTTGCCCAGATGTTATGTGAAAAATACACATGCACCTGGATAACTGTTTGTTCGTCTGTTTGGAATTAAGCACAATGCTTTACAATGGGCTATCTGTGCTCTGCCCACCCCGGGTATCGAAACCCGGTTTCTAGCGTTATAAGTCCATAGACATACCGCTGTGCCACAGGGGGCCCTGCATAACTGAAAATGTTTGAATAAATTCTGTTTTAAAGTAATTATTACATGTAAAATAATCACACATATATTAATAAAATTATGCGTGTCTTTTGTCTTCGTAAAATGTTTACTATTCAGTTCGAAATCACGAGTATTTTACATAAAATATGCTTGATTTTTTATGGAAAATCTGAAGACTACCACGATAATTAAGTAATGCGTGATATGCAAACAAATGTCTTTGAAAGTATGAGCAAAGTTAAAATAGTTGAAACATAAATCGTTGTTCTACTTGACTCTTCTTTTTATTTCTTACCACTGCTAATTCGTGTGACATACTTAGATACACCTTAAGAAAACTTTACACGAGCTGTTTCTGGGATAAGTATTTGGTGCCAAAGTTACAAGTGTTGAAAAATAAGAATTTGTCGTGAATGCAGCGGTCCCCGAACGTGAAGACAACTTCACCATGTATCTACGAGAAAAGTAGACAACTTCAGCGACGTGTTATGTCTAACGTGCTACTACAATGTTAATAGTATTGCTAGTACTACATACTGAGTACATTTTAAAATAATCTAATATCGCTGCTGATAGTCATACGAATATTGAGATGGGTAGAAGAATTCATAAAAGCAATCGTCATAAAAAAATAAAAGCAGTGGATCCATTTTTAAAAGGCAAAGAATATCTCCACCAGTAAGTAACGTACGCTACATTAATTTACAGTGTTTACATTTAAATTTAAAAGTTAAACTATTACTGTTACATTGTAGACGTAATTTGCATATAATTTAGGTTAGACTTAGAGCCACCTTTTCTTTGTAATTAATTTATGTTATATATAAGATTGCGTCGTTAAAGCTCAAATCCTGTATTCGTATAATACATTGTTCAAATTCTATCGTAAATTCAGCTACAGATAGGAATCTGGCCTACGAAAGCCCAAGATAATATATTCCTGTCTTTCCAAACATTCATGCATTGAATTTGAAATACTGAGCGTAAAACGCATCTGATAAAAAATATGTTTTGGTCAAACCAGCAACTGAATGCAGGTCAAATTCAGCATTACAGGGAATGCATCATTTTTCGTCATGGAATAAGAAATTTTCTGGGGGAGCATGCTAAAATGTTACTTTTTTCAAAAGTATTTTTTAAACAGACTCCCAAAAGTTGGCAGTCCTGCAGTTACACAGTTACTAGTGTTAGTATTACAGTTCCTATCAGTTTTCACAATATCAGTATCTTTAGGCCCATGGAGTGAAGAAAAGAGTGCAGTATAAGCATCAATAACATTAAAATTTTTGTAGCCTTTCATTTACGCTTGTAACTATGTTGTTCTCTACTAGCTTAGCGCTTTGGATGTTTAGATCACTTTATAATATGACAAAACATAGGGAAAATATACTTGATCTGTAACTTGTAAGAATTTCCCTGGACATTCAATTTTTAGAAAAAACATACAAATTCCACCCTTTTTTTGGTAATATTGTTGATTCCCCTTTCAAATGTTTGTAAAGTGCCATCCTTTACTACTCCGAAAAGGAACTTATTCCACAGGTAAATCTATCTTAACTGGAGCTCACCTGGCTTGTTTCAGATGTTAAACTTCAGTCATCTGTTCCTTTTTACAAAATATAGCACAAAGAAATTAATCCTTATCTCATCTATCCTCTGAATAATCCAGTAATCTTCAATAAGATTACCTCTTAACTTTCTTTTCAATGAGCCAATCATTTTTGTGAGGTGGCTTTTTCTTGACAGTAACAACATGTCTAGAATAGAAAGATTTCTTTTTATGAATGTTAATATTCTTTAGGACACCCACAGCTCTTATAACAGACTTGTCATAGCATCAACATTTTATTGCTTAGAAGCTGGAATTTTCAGGATAAAGATGTTTTTGTATTGTTGATGTCTAAAATAAATGAAAATACTACTGGTATGACAGTTTAAGAGTAACAACTTTTTTAAACAAAAATTTGGAAACAGACATTCTGTTTATCTATGCTATAATATTTTTTGTAATATGATTGTAAATAATTATAACTATCTAATTTTAAGTTAAAATTTTGAAATGTTTGTTTTTAACTATTTTTATTTTCATAGCAATCACATTACTAGAAACAAAGATATAGGCTTTGAAATTGCTGGACTACAAATGAGCTAATAATTTACGGAATATATTAACTTCATTGGACTCAGGTTGCTTTAGGACTATATAGTCAACATTGATTAATACAAAATACTGTATATCATTATAGTGGAAGTCTCTTCAGACTTCTTTCATGATGTCATATACCACCAAACTTGTTCACCCTTTCAGCTGTAGTGGCATTTTAATGTTTTAATTAATCCCATTAATCATTGGTAAAAGATTTTGTGATGGGTGCTGCCAGCCAGTGGTCTTTCCCTTGTCAGCAGTTCAAAATTAGAGATTGTGTCAGATAGCTGTAGAAGTTTTGCTATAATTTGAGAACAAAAAATATAACACCTCATGCCTGAAAGAACAAGCATGGTTGTTTACAATAGGAATTGAACCAGTGACTCTAATCACTGGGCCATACCAGCTAAGCTGAAAAACTTGAATTACTTGAAAAAAAGAAGAGAGAATAGTTTGGTAGATTTGATGAGCAGAAACTGCTACTCAGTATTGAATTTGATTAACATTGGTCATTACAACGTATTATATTAACTAAATCCACAACTAAAAGTCTTAACTTTCTCTAAAGACATCCACTAATGAAAATAGGTAAATGATATGTTTTTATTTTAATAACACTTTTATTCAGTATCAAACCCTAATATTTAATTGTACCATACATGGCATTTCATGAAGAAAATAGTTCCTGGTATATAAAATAAAACTTCAACACTGCAAGAAATACCTGTCAAAAAATAATGCAACAATCGATTAACACTTTCGAGATGGGTCACAGATGAAAGGCCATGCCATCTCATTTGTTGACTCACATTCAAACTTTTATTGAAACACTATTTCATGAATGTATGTCAATAAGTTTGGTATCAAACTGTAGATTATAATTCAAATTTTAGTACTATATATTACTAAATTTCTTAATTTAAAAGCAAATATTAAAAAAAACACACACCTAAATTTTTGTGTATCATGTAATATGTTGAATGCAGCACTGGTTCAAATTAGATGTTTGTGAAGTCAAAATACTAAGTCTATAGTTTCAAACGAATTAGAAACTCAAATTACTGATACTTACAAGCTAGAATATAAAATAAGATCCTCTTATCTTTTCAATTTGTTAAGATATTGCTCATGTAATAAATCAAATACAGTGGCACCCTGCCTACCTCTTTCCATTTTAGGAAATGCTCCCTAATATATGCTTACTTCTATCTATGACATGAATAACCAATCAAAAGCTCAGAATGTCCTCCTAGTGGCTTTCTCAGCCATTTTAATGGACTTGGTGCCATTTCTTTCTTTTGAACCAATATTTCAACAAGGTAGGGTGTGTCTTTAGTCTGCTCAAAATTTCATATTTTGTTAGACTAAAATACATTTTAGTTATTAAGCTTGATAAATTATAGTGGAATTCTATGGTATTAATGTAGTAATTAATGATTTTGTAGTTATTCAAATATATATATAAAACCTAAAAAAATAGATTTGTTTCATATCCTTCACGTGCAAAATATTTAAAGGCTTAACAACCTACATCAAGCAGCAATCGAATACAAAGGTCGTAACTAGAAGAGATAATTGTTTGCTTTACTTCTGTAGTTACTAATAATGGCTGGAGATGGCTTGAATAGGTAATGAAGAAAAACTTTAATATAAGTTTAACATAACAACAAATGTACAACGTTTCGACAAGGATTTGTCATCATCAGGTACAAGTAATTTACACTGACACGGATATATATATATATAGTATTGAACAAAGAAGTCACATGACCGGAACTGTTGTGAAACTTAGAAGAGGTATCTAGGCACCCCGGGGTGTTGGTTTAGAGT